CATGTCTTTATAGTAGGGATCAATGATGGCCTCGGTGAGGTGAACCAGTGAGTCCTTCTCATGCTCGTTGCTACCCTAGATCTTGCATTGGCTCCGAATGTCGACAAGATTCTAGCGGGCGATGCCTGAATTCTTGAGCACCTTTACATCGTTGGTGATGTCCACCGTAGCGAACATGTAGTGGGGGATGTTGACAAACCTGGCGAAACGCTCGCAAGGCCTTGTGGCCAGGCAGTAGTGGTAGACGAGGACGTGATTACGCATGCATATCTAGGCGACGACGACCTTGGGACGAGACCCGACACGAGCGCGGGTGTACTCGAGGTCGAACCCGACCACCTTGTACTTCTCCTCAGTAAGCAACAACTCCATGATATGGATGGAGTGCTCCACCCAGACCGGGTTGTTGGTGTACACCACCAAGAGCTCCATGAACCTTCTGTGGGTGTCCACCATGGCATGTATGGTGAACTGCTGCTCGTCATCGGCATCCGCTCGGAGCGCCATTGGAGCAGCGCAGGATACCCTCTAAGAATTTGTCGTGGTGGGTGTGCTTCTTGCAATGGTGGGGCGCGATCGAAAGTTGAAGAGACACAAGGATTAAATGGTCACTATAATAAATGGGGGTCGGCCGGCCTGTAATCGTCATGTCTTGTCACAGCATTCATAGCGGAGGATTCGAGTGCACGCTTGAGAACACCGCACGCTTTTCGTTTGACCACGCATGGGCTCGAAGAGGCGCCAAATGTATCATTGGTGAGCTTGTTCCCGCGCAACCGCGCAGTTTACCGCGCAAGCTTCCCGCCCGGCTAGTTTGGTCATGCGTAGGCTAGAAGAGGGACAAATCGTGGTCATTTATTGTCAAAAAACTTTATAAAAACGAAGTGTGTGAAATGACTTCGGTCATAATACTACTGCAAGATGCTGCTAACGCGACACTACGGTCAGAGACACTTCGACGAAACTGTGTGCGATACAATAATCGCAAGCGATGATGTAAAAAACCGTCAAAAAAGGTGCAAAACTTTTGCGATGACGGATGCATCAAACACGGTTTATATTTCGTTGCGTGTGCGATGTAGGGCATACGGTTCAGTTTAATGAACTGTTTACGATGAGGCAGAAGAACAGAAACGGCAGTCCGATGAAGGTGTGCGCGGTATACGGCATACGGTTCACTCGGATGAACAATTTATGATTAGGCGGAACAAAAAAAACGTTCAGCCAAATCAAGATGTGTGCGATAAAGGGCAAAAAGTTCACTCGGATGAACTGTTTGCGTTGAGCCAAGATAATAGAAACCGTTTAATATAACAAGATGTGTGTGATACGCGGCAAAAAGGTTTGCAATAAAAAATGTGTGTGTAGACCAATAATAATACAGACAATTACTGCTAATAAGATGTGTGTGTTATGCATTAGGATTGCATACAGTAGGATGCAGGCAAGGAGGCCAAAAGGAACAATGTCAGAGTCGAAAGGGACGAACAGGAGGGCTGTGAGACAGAGGATAGAGGAGAAGAAATATAGTGTGCGCGTAATAGTGGCGTCAATGTAGTAGGATCATTGAAACGAAAAACTTGCAACACCAACATCATGTGGAACTGCATGATGAAGTTGTCGGTCAAAGGAAATTCCAAACGGTCGATCGTAGGCGACGAATCTGACAAAATTCGTCTGAAACAACTTCAAACATGAACAAAAAATAAAACATTTACGGCCAACAAAACTACAAACTGATTGCCTGAATGGAACCATAACATTGATGTGCATCTTTTTTGTGTGAAGCTTATCTCGAATCCAAGCACCATTGTGTAGATTAGAGAGGAGAAGGAAGAAAGGAGATTAGGCATGAGGTTAGTGGAGGAGGAAGAAGAAGCATGTAAAGAACTCGCATCCCTCACGTCTCCTCTCGTGCAAGGGGCTCACCCACATGCTCTCGTTGTGGCTCCGCTCGGCCTGACTCGCAAGAAACTGCAGATCTGAGCGTAGCTCACGGACCTGGCTCGGAGGCGCTTTAAACGTCGTTCGGTGCAGGGACAATAGGAGACGCGGGCAACCAAATAGGCCGGTTTCTTCCCCGCGGGCCTGGTTGGCCCAAATGCGGGCAACCAAACGCGTCCTTGGGAAGATCCGATAAGTTACATTTTATCCTTTTGTTTTTCTTGATTCTTTTTTCCTTTTTCCCATTTTTTTTTTGCCTTTTTTCTTACTTATATGATGAAATCATTTCAAATTCGTGGACTCTTTTCAAATCGATGATTTTTTTCATTTTTCGATGAACTTTTATCAAATTCGATGAAATTTGAAAAATGTTCACATATTTGAATTTTTTTCATCGGATTTGAAAGAAGTTCCCAAAATTTGAAAATCAAGTCCTCGGATTTGAAAAGGTTTGAAAAAAATTCAACACATTTGAAAAAATTTCATCGATTTTGGAAAAAACTTCATCGAACTTGAAAAAAAATCATCAAATTAGGAAAAACTTCGTCCTATTTTGAAGAAATTAATCAATTTTGTGAAAAATTTCATAGATTTGTTTATAAAAAAGCAAAAGTTGGAAATCATCGATTTAAAAAAATAATTTTTAAAAAGAACAAAAAAAGAAAATCGAAATAAAAACCACCCTTGAAATGACCACGAACTGGGAAAAAAACCAGTTTGGGAAGAAGCTTCCCAGTTCCCAAAACCAGAGGATTCCCGCGACCGAAGAGAAGAAATAAAAAAACAAATTATGAATCGCTTGATGTTAGATGAGGTAGTCATTGGAGATGAAGGAATTCATCGCCAGTTTGACTCCGGCAGCCGATTTTTTAATATTTTTTTACAGAATAAACAAAACATAATGGGCTGGCCCAGCTCGCCAGCGGGAGGGTGTGCATGCTCCATGCACCCGTTTGCGAACCGGCGCTTAAGAGTATCTCCAACAGACGCACAAAAACTGCTTCGCATGCTAAAATTCAGATTTTTTAAATGCCAAACAACTCCAGCAGAAGCTATAAAATAGTGCATGCGCAAAAAGGATTGGACACGCGCTAAAAGACATTATCAGAAGCTGCAAAATTGGGGTACCGGATTGTGCGCGCTTCATAATTTGCACTACGGTGTCTTTTTGGGCGTGTGTTTTTGGACATCTGCTAAACCAATATTGAATCCGACGCACTAAAAATGTTACAATGACGCACTACAACTATTTTAGCGCGTGAAACTTTTATGCGCCTGTTGAAGATCTGAAAGCAAAAGAAAGCAAAAACAGAGGAAGGCGCCGACAGATTGGAAGAGCGTGCTCCCAGCCACTCCATCTAACTAGCATTGTTTGTAGTGGAACAACCCACATCGAAAATAACTTAGCACAAGGTATGCTGTGTCAAACCGGAATTAGTTACTGTAGTGAACAACTTTTTGAACATACGATTACGCAAAAAAGTAATTCTGAAAACAAACAATTGAGAACTTTTTTTAAAAATCCTGAACAAATATGGAAGTGTGAACAATTTTTTAAAGCACAAACGTTTTTTGAATCTTGAGAACAAATTTTGAAATATAGAACAATTTTGAAAAATCCTGAACAAATTAGGAAGCGCGAACATTTTATGAAATCCGCTACATTTTCTGCATTTCGAAAGTTTTGAACTTTTTTGTGTAACGAGAACAATTTTTGAATTTTGAGAACATTTTTTCGATAACTGAACATTTTAGAAAAATACAATTTTTTTGAATATTTTGAATTTCTTTTGAAGAAAAAGAAAAAGAAAGAAAACATAAATAATCAGGAACATTTTTAGAAAATGTGAACAAAATTTTGAAAATGTGAACACTATTTCAGAAATAATAACAAATTTTGACAAAAAGAACATTTTTGAAAATTCTGAACCATATATGATCTTTTTGAAAAGCTTAAAAAGAAAAAGGGAAAATATTTAAAAAGAAGAAGAAAGAACAGAATAGGACTGTGAAGAAAAAACAGAAAGAACTAGTAGAAGGAACAAAAGTTTTTTGGAATTTCCGCGAATTGGTTTTAAGTTTTGTCGTCTCTTTTAGTTTCTTTAAGTTTAGCATTGTTTATTTCATACATCCACGAGCCAGTCGGTGTGGCTACAGCGGCGTGTACCTCTACAGGAGGTTGTCGCTTCGATCCCTAGTGGGACCTTTTTTTGCGTTTTTTTAATCTCGCAAAGCGGCGACTATTTGCTGTAGTAAGCGGCGAATAGGGAATTCCATGATCCGAGCCCCAAATACTCCCTCCGTTTCAAATTACTCGTCGCAGAAATGAATGTATCTAGCATTAAAATACATCTAGATACATTTATTCCCACGACAAGTAATTCGGAACAGAGGAAGTAGTAGATAGGATCCGCTTGCTTCCTCGGCTCGACTGGTTTCGTTTCGTTCGTTAATGGGCTGGGGCCGAGAAAAAATCTTAGTGGACAGCCCACAAGGACCACCGGTTACCGGGAACTTGCTAGGGTTTCGTCCATTTATTATAATTATAAGCCAACGATCCCTTCGCTACTTTGGACGGGTTCGGTAGCCCTCCAACTCCATACCCCGTCAACTCCGGGTGTGGAGCTGCCCCGAACGGTCTAACTCCTGGTTTTGAAGAAAAGAAGCTAGCTAAGCTTGTAGTGTAAAATCTGAGGAGTTGTGGAGTTGGGAAACCCGAGCTCCTTGAAAACTTGGAAGCGGGAGTTAAGAAAAATTATTGCCTCCTGCCACCGCCAAGTAACCCGTACCGTTTCGATCCCTCGTCTCCATTCCCCTCCACTGGTGCACCTCGTCCGCCCGTGGCCGCCCCCACAACCGCCACTCGCCTTCCCCCGCCGTGATTGAACTGGCACGTGAGGATACAGAGCGCAGTCTTCCGCCGTCCAGCCACTCCACCTTGAGCAAGAGCGCCACCGCCCATCGTTCACCTCCTCCACCTCGAGCTCGAGCCAGAGATGCTCCTCCTTCCCTCGGCTTGTCGACGCCTACCAGTTGTGCCTCCTCGGTGAAACAACATGCTGCCTGGACCGCCGGACGAGTGGCCGCTGGAACGCCGGGGCCAGAGCGCCGCACTGACCATCTCTTCTGGGCGAGGAGGGAATTGTAATCTCATTTTGATTCCTAGAGGGGTTTCTGATAATGTTCTGGTTATTTTTTTTATAATTTTTTGAGTAATACTTCCTCCGTTCCTAAATACTTGTCTTTCTAAGCATTTCAACAAGTGACTACATACGAAGCAAAATGAGTGAATCTACACTCTAAAATATGTCTACATACATTCGTATGTAGTAGTCATTTGAAATGTCTAGAAAGACAAATATTTAGGAACGGAGGGAGTAGTTATTTATTTTCTATTGGTACAGACAATACCAACTCATCCCGACCGGGCCTAGTCCAGGCCTCCGTTCTCAGCTTGAAAGTCCAGGGCTAGTCGAGCCACATTCTAGCCTAATGGGCTAGAATGTACTCCCGAACGTATCCTGACTCCAGAATTTTAAACGAGAATCTAGGCTGAGGAGTTGAGGATTTTAGGTCTGTCTCCCACCGCCGCCGCCCGCCTCCTACCATTGTCTCCCAACACAATCAATTGCTAAAACCGCTCCGTTGGTGAGTCGCCCTCGATTCAGATCTGGATACTTGGATTTGTCGGGTTGATTTGCTGTATGATGTTGGTTGTGCTTGATTGATTTGCATCTGATTACAGGGATCAAGGGCCAACGGCAACGCCGAATCTAAGGAATCAGATGTACGAGTACGAGTAATAATCCAGGAAAAAAGTCAGACCATGTCCGCCCGGTTACAAGAAGGCGACGAGCAAAGGGGCACAAGGATGCCAAAGCGTGGCCGTGAGCGACTTTACCTTGTCTTTGATGACTGGTGCCATGGATACAGCATCCGCATGGTAAACTTGTTGAAGCATACTGCTGGCTCAGGCCATCCAGCCCCGGTGCATTTTTCCCAGCCTTTCTGCCGCATAATGGCACCTCTCGTGTCGTACTTCACGTCAGCCTTTGGCGCCAAGATTTTGGCGGTGTTTTCCAGAGATCCCGAAGCTGACTCTGAGAGCTACTTCCCAATGTTGGACGTTCGCTCGCAGTGCGTCACCTTTGCCCCTGGGCAGTTATGTCCTATTCCTCCCATCTACTACCTTCCTGTCGGCAACGAGTTATTCTGTCTGAGCTTCTGCTCCTTCGAGATGCTCTGCTCGGAGGTGCTCTCCCCCCGGTTGCAGGATCAGTCTTGCAGCATGGGTTGGTCATGGAAACAGCTCTCTGAGAAACCGCCATTCTATGTTGATCACGTCACCTCCTACTCTTTGCATCCTGAGGAACGGACCTTCCTCTTCAGCACCAAGACTGGCGCAGCCGAGGCCACCTACACCTTTGACACCCAGAAACGTTCATGGAAACTCCTTGGCAATTGGAAGCTGCCCTTTGCTGGCTGCGCTCACTTTGACCCGGGCCTCAACTGCTTTGTCGGGCTCTCCAAAGAACCGGACACCCTTGGCCAAATTTACAGCTGCCAAGTGCCCATCTATGACACTGATGATGGTCTGTGCCCTCCCCCTGTAGTGAAGCTCTGCAAGGAGAATCTGTTAAGTGAGCGCCCACGTGATATGCATGTTGGTGCTACCCTTGTCTACATGGGAGGCAAGAGCGAATTCTGCCTCGTACAGTGTGTCAGCCCTGATCAGGACCGAATGGATGAGGACGACGTTGCTCATGGTGCGCAGCTACCCGGTCGTCGTCGCTTCTATCGTCTCACCACATTCTCTCTCAGCTTCAACAAGGATAAAGAACTGACAACTGGCAATACCCGTCGGCTGCAGTACTACAAAGTGCCTAAAGAAGCCACGAAGCCGTTCCTTCAAGATCCGGTGGCATTTTGGATGTAGAATGCTCAATTGTGTCATGAGTCACTTCCTATGTTTATATTTTCACTGAATTACTATAACTCTATTGCCTTGTATTACTATGTTTTAATAATGTGTGCACGTCTGATTTGGTAAGTGTATTCCCTATTGTTTGCAACAAGAAATAAGATTATGAAATGACACCTCTCGTTTTCCTGTAAGTGGCTTCAGTTGCAAACGTTTAATCTGTTTTTGTTGCACCGTCATTCAGCCTGTCACCTAACCCTGGCATAGATATGCATTTAATCTGTTTTTGTTGTACCGTCATTTATCCTGTCACCTGACCCTGGCATAGAAATGCATTTAATCTGTTTTTGTTGCACCGTCATTTTACTATCTGATCTAGTGGTGGGAGATTATTTTTTTTTGAGTCCATTCTGTGGTGGGAGATGTTTACCGTTGTAGGAAGGGCAGGCGGCCCAAAATCATACCGGCCATTGGAACTTTCGGAGTTGGTGTGCAGATGTGACCTGGATAGGATAACGATGCCCATTCGCTTTCATTTCTCTCTTCGATACACCATAAGGAACTAATTAGCAAAGGGCAATAAAAACAACAACAGTGGAAAAACACAGTGCTTTAGTCTACTTAGTCCTGGGAGACATCACTAGTTGATCCATGAAAGGTTTTCAAGAGATGAAAAGTCACAGCAGCTCTTCTTCGACAGTGGCGTCATACAAGATACAGCTGTCCAGAAACAAGTAATATGATCAAACAGCAACGTTTCTTGCTTTGAGAAGAAAAAGTAACGATGGGAAGTACGTATGTCAGACCGGGCATACCTGAACCATCAGCGTGCATCGCCGCCATGGGCATAAAAGTCAGTAAGTTAGCAGCCTCTTCTCCCACCGATTCCTGGAAATAGATAGAATGGATATAACAAAAGCTGTAATAGTAGACCAACTTGTTGTCCTCTGCACATACTTCAGACAGCAGCAACAATCAGATAGATAGGGCATCCACTAACTGATGTAGACATGCAGTGACACACTCTTTTGCCTAGGCTCAACAATTCCACTGATTGATTATCCTTGTGCATGTATTCGTACCTTGAATCAGAAGAGAAATCTGAATGCTTTACGTAATCCACTTTATTCTTTCTGCTTTTGGAACTATTTGATGGAAACATTGTCGCTACTGTATGATAGCAACCGGTGAAGAGATTTAAGCATGAGCATGCTTTGGAGTAGTATGCTAAACCCTGAGAGACTACTACATTTAGATGCCTGGCCTATGTGTCACCTGATCTACTTGCCGCGTCTGTGGTGAACAAGCTTCAGAATCATGGTAAAACTGATGTTTTAAAGGATCATTTGTTACTTCCGATAGTTACCGGAAGGGCTGCTGACTTTTCCCTCAAAATCCAATATGCATAGCTCCATATTTTCTTTGCAAACATCAACATCTGGAGTTCTGGACGTCAAACTTGGACTGGAGTGTTGCTGTTTCTTCCGAATACTATAAAAAAAAAAAACACTTTGGGTGTCACATAAAAGAACTTCAGACTAGTAGATTGGGAATTGCAATTGCCCGCGGCACAAGTACAGAAGTAAGAAGTCTGTCTGCGCTGGAATTCTGGAAATCACCTAGTTGAAAAGTATCATTTTGTTTCTGATTTATCATGCCAACAGCTGTACATTACAGTAATAGAGTACTTGGTGAAGTCATGAAAACAATCCTGGTAATTACCAAAGAAAATCTGCATTAGAACAGATTAGGTTGCTAATGGAGCAAAAAGGATTCAAGGGTACTCAGCAATCCAGGAAAAATATGCCCCGCAACAAAACAGGACTGCATAATGAAGACATTCAGCATGTCATGTAAAGCCTGATTGCAGTCAAAGAAAATGATGTGCGAAGTTCTAACATTAAATAAATTAGCACAGTCTCTGTTTATTCAGTTATAATTACATAATAACTAGTAGCAAAAAGGTGCATAAGACTGTAGGCAAAATGCAGTAATGCACTAATGACTACAGAAGAAGTACAATGCACTAACTATTATCCAATTCACCTTTTACTCGCCTGTATCCACAGATATGGAATTGTTTCCTATGAAGAAAATCTTCTAAGAGCTTGCTGAAGACAGTAGATGTTTCTCTGACATGACATACTCTCCCCCAAGCTCAACATTATCTGCTCAAATACAGTTCATGCCTCTCTTATGAATCCGTGTCTACTCTAGAAGTCAATAGATGCGCTCCCCAGAAACTTGCTCATGTCAAGTCCATGTCTTAAGGAGAAGCCATGGACCTCTTTTGCATGCCTGAATAATTTTAGGCCAGAAAGACTCGGAAATATACTTGTCATGGTATTAGAATTTGGTTTTAACCTTGAAGCAACCATTTCAGTAAACAAACTGACACTCACATGATACATTCCGTTCTTCGAATACCCCAAGAGACAACATCCTTGAAATCGACGGAATGGAACAGATGATTAGCCATCTCCAGACAGCCACACTTGCAGTACATATCAACGAGAGCATTGGAAACACAGTTATCATCAGCAACTCCACATCTTACGTACTGCGCATCCATGCAACGCCGTTCCAGCTCGTAATTAACTCTTTCACCCTGCCAAATGCTAGGATGACAGTGGCGATGATCACCGAATCAGCCAAGAATCCTTCCCATCTCATCCCCTCGAACAAACTCATCGCATCGAGCCAATCTCCTGCATGCACGGCTCCTCCGATCATAGCGGTCCACGCTGCCACATCCCTTTCCTGCATGCTCTCGAACACACTCCTCGCCTCGCCCAAGCACCCACACTTGGCAAACATGTCCACGAGCGTGCACTGCACAAACACATTGGGCGTCGCATAGCCACGGCACGGGCAACGCCTGCCTGCACTCCACAGTCCACATGCTCTCTTATCATCCGGCCCTGCTCAACCGCTCGGAGTCTGAGCGCGGCACACGCCTTGATGCCGGGTGGGTACGTGAAACCATCCGCCGCAGCCGAATCATCTTTGACCATCGCCCCGCACGTCTCCAGCGCCTCGGAGAACCGGCCTGGGTAGACGAGGCCCTCGATCACGGCGTTCCACGCGAAGGAGTTCCTCCTGGGCATTCCATCGAGCACGCCTGCGTGTGCTCGATCTGCCCGAGCCTAGTATACACGTGCACCAGCTGAGCGGAGAGGACCGCGCCGTGGCGGTGGCCGCCGACGAGCACAGCGGCGTGCAGCCGGAGGAGCAGCGACGCGTGTGAGACGGGCGAGGCGTCTGCGTGAGAGCCGCGGCGATGTGCGGCGGAAGGGGAAGCGGGAGCCTTAGCTGGCAAAGGAGGAGGAGGGGAACCGTGGCCTCGGTTTGAGACCGTGCGTGACGGCGAGAAGAGCATCGACGGGAGCCTCCGGCACCGCGTGGTCTCAGCCCAGAAGCAAGTCGCTCCAAAAGTTTCAACCCAAGTTTCAATCAAGCGCGGAGCCTCATTACCTGACGAGAAAAAATCACTCATGCTCTTTTGGTACCTAATTTTAATGTACCCCAAATACGGTCCCTCAACTGGATTCACATACAATACAAAACATGGTTCTGTTTATGTATTTTGTTGAACTGGCATGACTGACGATAACTGTGTGGAGAGCGTGGCATCATATTTTGCAAAAGAATCTCTGCATGCAAGGGCCCACCTGTCAATACGCCACATAGTTGCTAGAGTCATAGTTTAGGCGTTTCTATTTTATATACTTTGTCAGAGACATCCTGGCTCTTTCGCCACATTTAGAAAATCAAATGCATAATAATATCTGAAAAAACTTCTCCATCTTATCTGTTGTCTCCTGGAAGCTACCATAATGCTTAATTGAGTTTTCAGCCATTTTGAAATGTGTAGAAGGTTTCTCTCTTCGATATCGCTCATCTGTAATAACAACAGTGATCATAACTAATTTTGAATCAAGAACAAATGTGGATAAGATACCAGCTTATTGCATCCATTGGAATACAAATCAATCAAATAGAAAACTATAAGAACCAACTTTCTTTCAAGCCATGAAACATTTGGGAGTGAGACGTGAGTAACATACCGATCAAAATTATGCCTCCGTAGTCAAATTTATGCCGAATACATCGACCTAGAAAACTAGTTATAGTAATTAGCCATTTTAAACATCTTAATTACAACAAATGATCTTCAACAAATAAAGTATCATACCTGCAGCTTGATTGAGAGCACGAAATGCTTGGTGACAGTACCATTCACTCCCACTCAAAAGATTTTTGATGATTTATAGGAATCGTTATATTTCTTTCTCAGCTTTCTTGGACATCATTTCTGATCCATGAATTAACGTCAGATATAAACACAACAAAAGGAACTGCACGTATTTCTGGAAGAAGAAAAAAGGTACTTACATACGGAGTATTTGGGAGCGGAATGACAACAATGACCTAATGTCTTTTTTTAGTAGAAAAAATCCCATTAACCAACTGGTGCAGCAACGTGGCTAATGACCAAATATCTTAGTCAAGATAAATTGCGGGGTATCAAAAGCATACAGTTGCATGCAGCCACAGCATGTCACCTAGGGTTCTCCTATCCTCCGCCGGGCCGCCGCCGCCGAGAGTTTCCCACCGCGGTTGAAGAGCGCCGCCTGGAGCGCCTTGTTCCTTGACCGGCCTTCCACGGGGCGGATCAAGTTCTCTTCTGTTTCAACGCAGACAAACCCTAGAGGTGATGTAAGAGACCGATTGTAAGTCATGGAGACACAGGACGATGCAAGCAGATCGAGGGGCAAGAGCTCGGAAGATCCTAGCAGACTCCTGGAGAGGCTACACCTTGAAGAGGATGAGCTTGATAACCTGGTTTGGGAAGAAGAAGTTGAGGAACCGGAAGAAAAGCCCAAGTGGTTGGTGTTGACTAGGGTTTTGACAGAGAAATCTTTTGGCCAAGGGGCCTTGATAGCAGATATGAAGGCGACATGGAATCCCGCCAGAGAGGTTGTGTGGTGCAGAATTGACCCAAATTTGTTCTC